GTGGGTTTCTACATTGTGAGGTGACTGCCTGGTTTTCTAATTGTGCTTCGGGGCAGTGGGTCTCTACATTGTGAGGTGATTGCCTGGTATTGTCTTTAGTAAACCGGGGATATGGGGGTTGAGTCCCAAGAGATGCACACGGAGGGCATTTTCACTCGAAGTGAAGTTATGAACGTTTGTAAACCCCTCCCTTTCTTCTCCACCTTTACATTCTTCTTTTTCCCTTTCGCCCCCCTCCCGGCAGACACACATAAGTTTTCTTATTGTGCTTTGGGGCAGTGGGTTTCCACATTGTGCGTTGATTGCACGCCATGCCCGGTATTGTGTCTACTAAATGGGGGTATACAGGGCTCAAATCCCAAGAGATGCACACGGAGGTCATTCTATTTCGAACCGTGACGTTATGAACGATTGTAAATCCTCTCTTTCTTCTCTACCTTCACGTTCTTGTTTTCCCTTTTGCCAACCCACCTTCCTCCTGAAGCTTTACTCCATCACTTTGCTCTTGTTGGACCTCATTGATTTTTCACCACATTTCTTTTCATTTCGTTCCTCTGGACCTGACAAATCTCCCGATGATGTGAGACCCCTCGTTGCCTCTTTTGGCGGTAGTATCATTCAGGTCCATGCTGCTCTCGTGCATTGGCACGGAACTACAGCTACTCGCACTCTGTCTATCTCGTACACAAAATCAGCCATAGGAAAAGAGAGAGAGGGGTTGGCGGGGACTTTAGAAGTTGTTTTCCTTTGCTGAAGCGATGAACCTCGACTGCAAGTCACGTGGACGAGCCAGCAGACTAAGGAGGGGTTCATAACCACTTCTACGGAAGGAAACACGGAGAGCAACTGCACAAGGAAAGATACACAGCAACTACATTGTGAATTTGAGAGTACATAGTAACTACACAGAAACTGCACAGTAATTGTGTAGTAAATACACGGAAAGAATATATTAAACCACCAGTACCGTGGCCATATATCAGCTGCTGGGCCCTAACCACGACTTTCGAAGGGCTGCGCCGCGACAAAGGCCATTGATGAGATTTATGAACAGCCATGGCTCCCCGAAGTCACGGCACGTTAATGAGAGTGCCCCGCGACCGATACATAGCCGAGGAGCCACTGCTGTTCATAAATCTCCCGAATGCTTCACCCGAATAGGACGCCCGGTCATTATAGCTGTCTCTGGACTGAAAATTGCACCAAATACGGCTTTATGTGGTTTAACTACGTAGTACATATTAACCACATAGTTATTACATACTACCGTCTTCACCTGAAGAGAACGCCCGGTCATTATAGCCGTATCTGGACTGAAAATTGCACCAAATATGGCTCTAATGACAGGGTGTTCTATTCGGGTGAAGAAGGTAGTCAACTGCACAAGGAAAGCTACACAGCAACTACATGGTAATTACATAGTAGCTACATAGTAGCTACATAGTAACTACATAGTAACTACATAGTAAGCACATAGTGACTGCAAGCCTATTTGAAAGCTCCATTGCAACTTTCACAGCGACAGATGATCATCAAGGACTCGGAGCTGGTGAGTCCCTTAACACATTCAGTGTGATCCTTCCTGCAGGGTCAGGAGAGGAACAGAGAAAAACGATAACCATCACCGCCACCGCAAATGCTTCTTCACCACCACCACCACCCTTGTCTTTGCCGTTGTTGCCGTTGTGGTTGTTGTTGTGGTTGTTGTTGTGGTTGTTGTTGTTGTTGTTGTTGTGGTTGTGGTTGTTGTTGTTGTTGTTGTTGTGGTTGTTGTTGTTGTTGTGGTTGTTGTTGTGGTTGTGGTTGTGATTGTGGTTGTGGTTGTTTCAAGGCTACTAGTTACCATGGGTGCAAGTGTGGCAGGGAGTCCCTATCACAGACTCCAGCAGTAGTGTGTATGGACAGCAATAGATGAGCTGCTTCATAATGGACTTAAGAATGCAGCATAGGCAGAGGTGATAGTATAGCCCAGGCGCCGGCTATACCCAGGACCGGTGGAGAATAGAATTCCTGCTGCCAGTGTGAACCGGAATATGCGGCAGATGGGAACGGGACCTCCAATAATGCAGATTGATTGGGTGATGCAACAAGAAGCAATGGCAGGCCGAGCATAAGCCCTATTTCTCAGTTTTCTTCATCAAATTCAATGGGGGAAAAGGTCAACATGACCCTTCACCTGCCGCCCGCATAATTCCCGATGGCAGTGTTGGGGGCAGGGTAGGGCCTACCCTACTAGGGTAGGGAAGGGCATACCCTAGGGCAGGGAAAGGTAAAGCCCAGGGTAGGGTATACTATATGGTAGTGTATGCCCTACGGTAGGGAAGGGTATAGCCTAGGGAGGGAGTGACTCCGAGTATGAGGAGCTCCATCACTCCTTTTGCATGCAGCAACACTGTTTAGCTGGCATGGCAGCAATAAGATCGTGAAGAAGCACTGACAGGGACCGCGTTCCGGAGAGCATGAACAGACTTGGAGGTATGTATGAGGTGGCTTTTTTCTTCTTTCGGGGGAGGCATATATGAGGAGGCTACCCCCATCCAGAAAAGGAGAGTAAGCCCTAAGTCACAGGACATCAGGTACCAGCCTTTGGACCGCAGCACCGATAAGGCAGTCACGAACAAGCTGTGGAATTCTCATGAGCGAGGAGGGGACGGCACATGCATGTGCAATGATTATGTACAACTAAGGCTGCTGCTGAGTGAAATAGCATAAACTGACACCCTCATTGGCATCAGAGAGAAATTGCCGACCCATAATATTATGTGCAGTTTTACTTGCATCATGATACAGCTCTCACAGACGTCATTAGTTAGCGACTGTTGTCTTAGGTGCCCGGCGAGACCTGCCATGGGCAACTACTACGAGTCGGCAAGCTGGACAGAACCTGTGTGAACGGTGCAGTTGCAGGCTCGCGAGCCGTGGAAGGTAGCTTTGTCAACTTAGGCTCGTGTGAACTGGTGGTTCAACCTTCTTCTTTTTTTGTTTTTTAACTTCGAGTCCCCAGGGTGCTCCGCTTGACGGGGTGATACTAAGAGCATCCCCCTCAAGCGGGTCCCTGTGATGAAGGCTCCATCTATTGATGGGGAGATGCACCTGCTGGAAAACGGGTCCCGCGTCCCATTGGACACATGGATTTTGCAGACAGTTCCAAAGTTTGACTTTGACTTGCTGGTCTGTACTGAGTGGGGAAAGTTTGGAACACAATGAAAAGAAACCGGAGCAAATGTGTTGGCTCACTGGCAAACAGTCACCAGCTACCGTCTTCACCCGAATAGACCGCCCGGTCATTATCTCTGCAACTAGACTGAAAGTTGGGCCAAATGCAGCTATAACGACTGCGCGTTCTATTCGGGTGAAGACGGTAGCCTTGTTCATCGCCAAACCAACCTGTCGCTACCATGTCGCTTCAGAAGTTCAGACTAAAGGGAGGAGGAGCATGGAGGACATGGCGACGGAGGAAGAGCAGGACGAACAGCAGCAGTGGAGAATGGAAAGCACAGAGGGAGGAGGAAAGAGAGAAGAAGAAAGAAGAAGAAAGAAGCAAGCAGAAGAAAGAAGAAAAAGAAAACCAAGTGCTCCTAGTACTGCCTACACTCCTTTTCTCTGATCACTCGTAGCTTGCTTGTGCATTACTAGGTTTTCTTCCAGCTCAAATGGAATACTTACCCTGCTCATAACTCGGATCATTCCATGGGGTTTCACATCTGACTCAGCTCACAGGGTCCATGACAATCTCAGACTCGACTGAATCAAGCTCGTTGCTGTCGTTGTTTCGTATACATCATATTCGAAGGGTTACAGTTTTTGTCTCCCTCTCCATGCTGAGCAACTCTGCTCTTTATGTGCTCGTTGCTGTGCAACACATCTCTCCCAGAAACCGGCGATAACCTCTGTGAGACTGAGTCATGCAAAAATCCCATGCATGCAACTTGGCTCCCTCATTTGGCAGTACTTCAACCACACATTTCTTTTCTTCCTAAGGAAAGTTTGATTGCTGCTGTGAATTAACCCTCGTTCAGGTCGTTGAGCCCAATCTGACAATGGCACCGGTTTCCGGGGGACCGGTTGTGTGTGTGTGTGTGTGGGGGGGGGGGGGGGGGGGGGGGGGGGGGGGCGTATTCGGTAAGTCTATGTACGCGCATGTCATAAAAATTGTGAATTCGCCACTTTGAGTTAACGTACTTGGTGTATTTTCCCTATCAACATCGCTCTCCACTGACTGTCGAGATGAATCCAACGTCTCATGGTCACAAGACTGACTTGTCCGTGATATTTCTATCCCTTTTTTTTTTTTTTCCAGCCAGATATCTTGGAAGGCCTTGATTGCTTGCTGCGTGGTCTCTTTTTCTTTTCTGTTTTTTACAGCGCTTTYTTTTTTTTTTTTTTTTTTTTAATATTAATTTGCTCCAATCTATTCGTGGGGAGCATCACGTGCTGGGAACCGGGCCCAGCGTCCCTTATAATGGGAATACATTGATGATTGACTTCTTTTTTTTTTTTTTTTTTTAATAATGACAGGGTGATATTACTATCTCAATCAATGTACACACAACTACATGCCTATCCTGCCACAAATACACATATGCTAGTTGTTGCACCTGACTGAGTGGGCGCTTAGAGTGGATTTTATGGCTATGATGGAGTAGCTAGCTAGTTTCCCGGACTTACCGCCGTTATTGTCAAGGCTGTAAACTAGAGTTACAAGACAGTCCGCTGCGAGGATTGCAGGCTTGGGGTGAGCAAAGAGGACCACTTTGTTTTTAAACAGGTCCTTATGACCCTGGCTCCATTTCCATTCTGGGGAGCATCAAGGGTATCACTAACTTTGGGCAAGATGGCGTCTTTCCAAAAATAACAACATTGTCAACAAAGAAGAGAAGGTGGTGAGTGATTATCCATCAGTCAAATGCGTCCTGAGTAGACTGCCGTGATTCGACCTCTTTCTGATGAGCCCATGGAACTCCAGTACAAGACTTATTCATCGCCACGCTTGCCTTGTGGAGTTGCGTTTAGCGAATACAGAAAACACACACATAGAGTAATACAAGGGCAGAACGGCTGGATTTCAGCAAGGAAAGAATAAAACACGGAAGACTACATTGCAGAGAACATTTCTTGTACGCATTCTGTTTGCCGGTGCAGGCCAGGGTGCAGGCCGCAGAGGAGGCGTGGTGGAAGTGGGGAGGGGTGCAGGCCATAGATGAACGGTGGAAGTGGGGAGGGGTGCAAAAAGAGCGGTGGGGCTGGAGAGGGGTGCAGGCCGCAGAGGAGCGGTGGGAGTGGGGAGGGGTGCAGGCCATAGATGAGCAGTGGGAGGTGTGTGGGGGGGTGCAGGCCACAGAGAGGACAAGTGGGAGTGGGGAGGGGTGCAGGCCACAGAGAACAAGTGGGAGTGGGAAAAAAGTGCAGGCCGCAGAGTAGCAGTGGAAGTGGGGAGGGGTATTTAAAGCCATAGATGAGCCGTGGGAGTGGGGAGGGGGTACAAAAACAGGTCATAGATGCGCGGGATTGGGGAGCGGTGCAGGCCGCAGAGGAGCGGTGGGAGTGCGGAGGAGCTAGTCCCCTCTCCCCAGAGCGGCAACAATACCCAAAATTGCTGGAACCACAAAAAATGCAGCAGAGCGCAGGCTTTGTTCCGTCTCCAGTGACACTGCGCCAATGCGTGACCAGTCGCCACTGTAGCCAGCATCCACGAAACCAAGGGCTGTGATTACTAGTGCGACTTGGACCCAAAAGGTACTGCGTCGAAAAAAGGACCTTGGCTGAGATTCCGATAACAAGGGTGTTGTAGTGGAGGGGGAACGGGGTGGGGTATTGTTGGTAGGGGTAATTAAATCATTTGTACCACCATCCTCAACCCCCCTGGAGGCCATCCCCTCTTCTCCACTGCCTTGCTCGCTGCCAGCCCTTACCTGGACCACTGGCATCCTTGTTGAACCAGACAGCTCAGAATGGCGAACCCCAACTGTGCTTATTTTTGCCCCGGGTAGTAGTGAAGACATCATAACTTGTGTAATGAGGCTTCTTCCAAAGACAGGCCCTCTGGCATACCAGTGTGGCACTCCCACGTGGAACATTGACAGTCTCACTGTGACCGACTGTACTGCCAGCAAGGCGGTGCCTGCCTTATCATCTCTCAAGGGCTGTTGGAAATAGGCACAAGGTGAAGGTGCCTTCGACCTTTGTCGAGTGCTATGGTTGAGATCATGGGCGTTACCACTGGGAGATGGGAGAGAGAGTAACTGCTTCCGTGCTGTGGCAGCAAGTCGGTCAGGCTGGGAGGGCAGCTTCCAACAGGATGCATGTTCGACTCTTGGGGAGGGCAGCTTCCAACTGCGGCGCCGCATGCCTGCATGGCGTTTGGCCGTATGAAATCTTGTCGACAATGGCATCGTCGTCATCTCACTTCCACGGGGATTGCTGCTCATGCTTATTAATGCAACATGGCCCACTCCTGCAGCCGCGATGGCCGTCACGGTGGCAGGCTGCTTTGAGAAGGTGGCCATGGACGAACCCCACTGCGCTCCATAAGAAGTACAGGCTCTGTTCCTGTTTCTGCTGCCGCACAAGATGACTCCCGTTTCCTCCTGTGCAAAACTGAAAGCACAGGAGGCAAAATGGGCAGGGGCTGAGCGTGAAGCCCACATGGCCACCCGCCCGTTTGTCCCTTTGTTGCCGTAACTCAGACTATTATGTCGTTGGAAACACTGCTGCTGCTCCCGCTCCTGCTCCTGCTCCTGTTCCTGCTCCTGCTCCTGCTCCTGCTCCTGCTCCTGCTGCTAGAGTGGCAGTATTAAGAACAGCACACGGTCCTGCTCACAGACACACCAATTTCAGCAATGGGTCACTCTGATCACCACAACAGAGCCAGAAAGCAGAGCCACAGCTCTCTCTCTCTCTCTCTCTCTCTCTCTCTCTCTCTCTCTCTCTCTCTCTCTCTCTC